ATCTCTAGGGGAATATTCTGTGAGATAAAAACCCTTTCGTCTTCCTTACACATCTCATTTATTTACACCAGCACAAATGTGTTGTTTTCCTGATGACTCCAGTGATCCAGATCCTCAGCTGGTATCGAGCCAGCCTTGTGAGCGAGTGGAGGTATGCTGATTTATAGAAGGTAATACCTGACTCACGTTGGTGGAACTACTCTTGATTTACACTGGTGCAAAAGAACCTGGAATGAAGTCAAAGGACAGCAGGATTGGGCCCACACTGACCTTTGTATAAACTAAACCAGAAAAATTCTGTGCGTTTAGCTTAAAGTCTGCTTAATAAATTACTACAGTTCACAGTAATAAGGTAATTAGTGCTACACCAATCACTTGCTCTAATGTTAGATCAATTGCACATAGCTTTTCCAAGAAAATGAAAATAACAATAAACATAAAGAATCTATTCTTACTATTTGACCAGCAAAATAGGTTTTCTGTAGCCTAGTGACTGACCAGCTTAGTAACATTACTGTCTTATAGGATGGCTGGTTTAAAGGCTACACCTTGCCTAAGATGCTGTGGTACAAAAAGGCTGAGGGAGGTCCTCTGGTCTGGCTCTTGTTTCACCCCAAAAGCCCAGTGTGAGACAGCGAGCTGGGTAAGAGCTAGAGCTCAGAAGCATCAGTACAGCTGAGAGGTGATCTCTGAGCTGGTAGGATCTGTACAGCTTTCAACACTACACACGGCCTACTCCAAAGCCCAGTCAAATCAACAAAATGACTCTTAATGACTTTGCAAATACTTAATTAGCAGAAGAGAGGGATGTAGTTGGTGCATGCACAAGAAATGGGTGAACTGCTGGCCAAAGCACACTTCCAGAGTGTAACTCTCAGCCCACCTTGCAGAACGTTGCCCTTGGTTTTTGCAAAGGAACTATGGAGCCAACAGATCTGCTTCTCACTTCTTGGCATGATTTAGCCTTATGAATTCTACTTCATAGAATCAAAGGAGAAATCATACTTACAAATAAACTATTCTAGCTATTTAATGTTTTTCTGTAATGGAAAAATCAGAGACCCAACCTGATGAAATCTCCGTTGTCTGAAAATTCAAGGCCTCTTTACTAAAAATACTTTTTGCTGATGGCAAAGTTCAACACCTCAGAGAAATTCAGAGTAAGTTTCCAAGCTATACACTATATTTTCAAATACACTATACCCTTGTTGTTTGTAAGGCTGTACTGAAGTTTTACATAACAGTCATGAGCCGTGTGTTTAAACACCTTAAAAAGAGTTGACCAGCAACTTAATGCATTTCTTTATACCATAGAGAAATTAAAGATGCACCATCTCTTTCCAAAACACTCTAAACATAAATGTTCAGGATAAAATATTCCATCTTCCGCCTCCCCCTTTAATGTCTATTTTTAAAAATATTAATTTATAGATTTCTCTCTGTATGGTTTTACTGTATAGATAATCCAATAGTTAATGAATATCTAAAGGCAAAGAAAAAAAATACCACAAGTATGGGACATAAATGCTTGAGGCATTTTTTGAGGCAAAATGTCCATGGACAGACTGCCTTCTTGTGGATGCAAGGAATTTTGAGTGTAAACCTTGCACTTTACCTATATCTTGCTTCCTGCCAGCAGAAACACCATAGGAGGTATGGTCCATGCCTTTCTTCTTTTTTTTTTTTTTTTTATTTTTACTTTCCTGTGGTCATAATATTAAAGCACTATATTGTTTTCTAGCCAGTCCATATTGTGCCTAGAAATAGGAGGGACTGGGTTCAGCTTAGGTGAAAATATACTCCCTGGAAAATGCAGGACAACGGTTCAGTGGTGTGATAGTTTAACTTAGAAGAAGTATGAGTAAGAGAGAGAGATATCCAGAAGCTGGCAAAGCCCAAGTACCCATTTTAGAGCAGAACTTATACTGATATAAAGTGGGTACAGACTCATTTGAATGAGCTGTCTGCTGGCTAATGGAATCCTAGTAGCTGTGGACTCTGAGCCACAGCATTTTCCATCTCTGTGCAAGAATCCTTGGAGGGGCAGTCTAGTTCAACTTGGAGAAAGGGTTCCTAGCAATTAAAGCAAAGGTCTGAGTTCCTAATTTTAATTTCATTTCTGACTGTGAGCCTTTGCTCTAAGCTCTACTCAAAAGAGTCACTCGTGCCTTTATGGAGTGGGGATAACAGTGCTGCATTTTTCAGGATTCTTCTGAATTGCTGTAGTTGCTTGTGAAATGTGTGAGTGATCTCCCTAAGAGAACTGCAGAAACGTTATGATTAGTATTATGACAGTACTTGAAAGGCACTGCTTTCTACTATTTATTTTTCTGTGGGTGTTCATTATTATACTTTTAAGGAGCTGCTTTACTGAGTCACCCACTGAATAGGTAGGGATGGCAATATTGAACAAAGATGAATATTGAACATATTTCTACCAAAAGATAATTTGGTGCTTCATAACCAGAAGTATTTTAAATCAGAACTATCAATTACTACTTTGACTATTAAAGTACAGGGAAGAACCTCAGTCTAGAGGTAGCAGGATCAAGGAAGCATGCCCCGCTGGCCATCACATCAACACTACTTCCATATAAGGATGTTAAAATCACGATGGGGTAGATTGTGGCTGGCGTTGACACTCTGAGAGTCAAATCCCATCTTAGCACAGAAGATTATGATGAAGCCCTTTCTACCAGTAAAGAATCTGGCTCTTTATTAGATACATTACTACTTCTGGAAAAGTCTAGCAGCAGGAGTAGATAACAGAGATTTTTACATCCTTATCTAACCAGCAATGTGTACCTGCTCTTCTGCTGTAGGTTTTCCTACTTCTTGCCGTTGCTGTTCCTGAAGAGCCAAAGCAAAGGAAGGTGGGTTTCATTTAGGAACATCTTGTTTTATCTCATCACTTCCTGCAAAAACATATGGCCTCAGCATATTGTGATTTTTATTCTTTAATAGGCAGTTTAATGGCAGTTTTACTTAGAGGTTAAACAGATTAGGGGAGCCTGGGCTAGGTGTTATACAGGAGAAAACAATATAAATTGTTTTGACTTCTGAATATGAGCATTACATTGTTATGGCTCTCCCTGGTGAAAAGCCTTCTGCTAATGAACATAATCTAAAGTAACAAGCTGCTACTGCCTTCAGTGAGAGTAAAACACCACTGTGTGGTTCTACGGTGTGTGAGTCAGGTTTTCCCCATGCTGTTCCATGTGGCATAAAACATACAATATATGTCCTTCTAGCTGCAAATTGGCACTGACACTTCGGTTCCCCCCTGCATCTTCTCACCCACAGGAATTTTCGGTATTAGGTCTCATTCAAAGCCTTTGGAAGTGAATGGAAGTCTTTCCATCCTCACTGAACTTGGGATCAGGTAATGAATGAATATTTTTGGTGCAAAAAAATAAATTCCCTCTCCCAAAAAGAGAAGTTACAAATGTAAATCCCATATAGAAAGTTTTTGCCCTTCTATCACTGCAAAGACTCTTCTTGGCTTCCGCATACTGACCAAGCATAAAATAGTGAATAACATTTATTTTTGAATTTATGGATTGAGTTCACAGGGATTTTACTAGCACTAGGGTTATGGAAGTGCTATTTTAATAAGGACCACAGATCATGGGCCCAAATCCTTACCTTTACCTCGAGGACTTGTAAACTCAACTATTTAACTCAAATCTCTTTATTGGAGGCCTTAGAATGTATCCACCTGGAGGCTGAAAAATTGAAAGGTAGAAGG